GCCCAGGATCCCAGGAAGAGAATGGAGGAAAACAGAATGTGTGACATGGCTATCCCCCCTTGGGGGGGGAGTGACTTCTCACTTTCCTTCTCACTATCTCTCTCTGTCTCTCTCTAGCTCTCTGGCTAGTGCACACACCCTAGGGAAAAAAAAAAAAAAAAAAAAAGGAGAAAAGTCGGTACATAATTGGAAGATAATCTGGACATATAATTATGAGAATTTTTGATGGAAATAGTGCTTTCCATATGAATTTTGAGTATATGGTATTGAATGACAGAATTGAGTTTAACAGTTAGCATTCTGATATAAATTTCTTCCTGTCTTCCAAGTCAGTAATTATGTTTTAGTTATCTTAAAGCTAGATGCATTTTTGCAATTTCTTTTCTTATTTAATAAGCTTACATAGCTTTTCTTAGTATAGTTATTTATTTAGGCTCATTTTCCTGCTATTTTATTTTTAAGAATTTGGGCCCATCTTCTTGCTGTTCTGTTTATAGCAATCTTTTGTCTGCCTTTTTTCCCCCCCTTTTCTTCTACCCTGTCTTTCTTTTTTCCTTGCTTCCTTCTTTCCTTCATTTCTCCTTATGCACTAAGAAATTAATGTAGTATCTACTTCAAGTTGATATTGGTCCAAATTCTGGAGCCAAGATAACAGAGAGATGCTGTGAAGATAAATGTATGGAAGGAGGCTAACTTCTCTTTGCTTGATGCTCCCTAGAAAATACAGAGAATTAAGATGATTTTGGTAAGGGCCAGCTTGAGGTTTGGTCAGTGGATAGGGCAGCTGGATTCCACACGGTTGACTGCATGGTTCAAGTCCTGGACCCGGCAGCTTGAAAAACACATTCAGTATATGTGTATGCCTGCCCAAAATCTTGAGAGGAGAATGGAAGAAAAGGGATTAAGGTGTGGCCATTCTGCCAGGGGGTGCTCTCTCATTTTTTCTCTCTCTATTTCTTTCTTGTGAGTTTACCACATAGCAAAACTAAAAACAAACAAATAAACAAACAAAAAAACAGAAACAAGCAAACACATTACCACATAGCAAAACTAAAAACAAACAAAAAAACAGAAACAAACAAACACAAAACAAAAAGACTTTCCCTAAAAGTACTTGTGAAGTGGTTAGTAGTTGATTTGGGATAACATGAGGAATTCCTGAATAAATCAATTAAAATAGAGTGAAATATATTAAGTACATATAAAAATACTATTTACAACAATGGGAAACTTGGTGTTTAGATCCGGGTTTCATACCCAGATAGCCTATTGTGCATATGCAAATATTCTAAAATCTGAAAAATCCAAAATCTTAAAGCACTTCTTTTAGAATATTTGCATATGACAATAAGCTTTCTGGGATATGAGACTCAAAACTAAATAAAAAAATTTATTTCACTTTCATATGTATCTTATAAATGTATTTTGAAGGAAAATTACACAATATATCTGTAGCATTTTTTACTACAACCCATCAAATGAGGTCATGTGTGGAAATTTTCACTTGGAGCATCACTTTGGTACTCAACAAGTTTTGTGTTTTGGAGCATTTCAGGTTTCAAATCTTTGGATTAAGGTTGTCCAACTTGTATATATAACTGTCTTGAATATAAATGAATGTGAGGGATCCCTAGCTACTTGAAGATAACTTCCAACATAAAATATAGAATAAAATATAGAGATTAAAACAGAGAGAAAGGAAAAGAGGTTAAGGGGGCTCAGAGAAAACATAGATAATTTAGGAAGCAAAAGATGTTTTTAATAACCTATATCTTCAGAAAGATGAGAGACTGTATTATATCTATGAAATGAAAAAGGCATTTATAGCAAAGAAATAATCAGAAAATAAGAAAGAGTTCTTGGAAATTGAACTTTAATATGTTTAAAAAAATTACCCAGAGAGTGTGCTGATGCAGTTGCATGAGGGGTTTCTGTCGTCTTACATGCTGTGGAGCAAAGCTTGTTCCTCTCCCCCTTAGCCACACAGGTTGAATTGACCAAAGTGATGGTTATGGAGAAGCCTAGTCCACTGCTGGTTGGGTGGGAATTTGTGAGACAGTATTACACACTGTTAAACCAGCCCCAGACATGCTCCATAGAGTTTATGGAAAAAGTTCTTATGTGCATGGGGGATTGGATTCAAATGGAAAACTAACAGATACTGTCTATGGACAGAAAGAAATTCATAGGAAAGTGATGTCACAAAACTTCACCAACTGCCACACCAAGATTTGCCATGTTGATGCTCATGCCACTCTAAATGATAGGGTGGTGGTCCAGGTGATGGGATTGCTTTTTAACAACAACCAGACTTTGAAGAGATTCATGCAGACATTTGTCCTTGTTCCTGAGGGTTCTGTTACAAATAAATTTTATGTTCACAATGATTCAGATACCAAGATGAGGTTTTTGGTGGTTTTGTCACTGAGCCTCAGGAGGAATCTGAGGAAGAAGTAGAGGAACCTGAAGAAAGACAACAGACACCTGAGGTGGCACCTGATGATTCTGGAACTTTTTATGATCAGAGTGTCAGCAATGACTTAGAGGAACATTTAGAGGAGCCTGTTGCTGAACCAGAACCTGATCCTGAACCAGAACCAGAGCAAGAACCTGTATCTGAAATCCAAGAGGAAAAGTCTGAGCCAGTGTTAGAAGAAACTGCCCCTGAGGATGCTCAGAAGAGTTCTTCTCCAGCAAGTACAGACATAGCTCAGACAGTACAGGAAGACTTGAGGACATTTTCTTGGGCATCTGTAACCAATAAAAACCTTCTACCCAGTGGAGCTGTTCCAGTTACTGGGATACCACCTCATGTTGTTAAAGTACCAACTTCACAGCCCCATCCAGAATCCAAGCCTGAATCTCAGATTCTACCACAGAGGTCTCAGAGGGATCAAAGAGTGTGAGAACAACAAATAAATATTCCTCCACAAAGGGGACACAGACCAATCCATTAGACTGGCGAGCAAGGTGATATTGAACCCCAAAGGATTGTGAGACACCCTGATAGTCACCAACTCTTGACAACCTGCCTCATGAGGTGGAAAAGTCAGAGCTTAAAGATTTCTTTCAAAATTATGGGAATGTGCTAGAGCTAGCTATGCATTAACAGTGGTGGGAAATTACCCAATTATGGATTTGTTGTATTTGATGATTCTGAGCCTATTCAGAAGGTCCTTAGCAACAGGTCCATCATGTTCAGAGGTGAGGTCCATCTGAATGTCGAAGAAAAGACTCGAGCTTCCAGGGAAGGAGACCATCGAGATAACCAACTGCGGGGACCTGGAGGCCCTCAAGGTGGGCTGGGTAGTGGAATGAGAGGCTCTCCCCATGAAGACATGATACAGAAACCAGGATTTGGAGTAGGAAAGGGCATTGCTCCAAGGCAGTGATAGTTCCTCATTGATCTTCATGCAGCAGTACAAATCCTAGTTCCTGCAGAATGGTGAATTTCTTCAACCAGCCTGTGGTATCTTGGCGTATTACTCTAGTCTGTTATAAACTGCTTAAGTTTGTACAATTTTACTTCTGTGTTAACTGGTGTGTGCTCATCCTTTTCCCTTTCCTCTGCTGACTTTTCAGTCCTTCACTTCCAGTTTTGAGGAATGACATTTTAGGAGTAATGGATTTTTAAAGAAGAAAGAAAAGAAAAAAAAGACAATTTCCTTGCTTTGCATATAGAGACTGGATTTTTTAACAGCCATTTCCCCAAAGAATGTGTCGCTTATTACTGACATTTGATATGTTTCATTCATTGGAATATTTCTTATTTTCTATGTGTTTCTAAAAGCCTGTTAGCAATACAGGATTTGATAAACATTTTGAAGGCAGGAAATACCCAAATTGTTGCTCTGAGAGTCATGACTACCTCTGGTGTGGAGAAATTGCCATTGGAAAATTTGACAAGTTTGATTCTTGCTGATATTGTTAAAAACTGAATAAAAAGGTGTTAATAGGAAAAAAAAAAAAAAAAGAATTACCCAGAGCTATAGAAGATAAAGTCAGGTAAACTTTCTAGAAAGTAGAATAATAGGCAGAGATAGAGACAGGGTGGGTGGAGGTAGGAAATGGAATGCCTCAGTCGATGAGGTTCATTGAGGATTTTACCATAGCAATTCCAGAAAGAGCCAAAAGAAAAGGGGTAGAAAGACAAGTACTAAAGAATCATATAAGAAAAAAAAAATGTTAAACAAAATAGTAGAGGGCCAGCTGGTGTGGTAGCTAAGGCACCAGACTCCTACATAGCTGACGATGGTTTGAGTCCTGTACCTGATGACTTGAAAATCATGCCAGATATATGTATGTACATGCCCCAAATTCCTCTTCCTGTCTCTCACTGTCTCTCTAACAAGCATATGTGTCCTATGTTAAAAAAAAAAAAAAGGAACAAGAACTTCCTTTTTTTTTAAGAGAGGGATTTTTGCTTTAGGGCACATTTGCTCGCCAGAGAGCCAAAAAGTGAGAAAGCACCCCCCAGGGGAGATGGCCACACCACAATCCCTCTTCCTCCATTCTCCTTTCAAGATCTTTGGCACACGCACACACATGCCCAGGGTCAGTTTGAAGCCACTGGGTCTGGGATTCGAATCATAGAAAGCCATGTGGGAATCCAGAGATGTAACCATTATGCCATCCGTTAGTCCTGAGTTTCCAGATTTAAAGGAACCAGAATGTACTAAGAACAATGGATAAGAAAAGATCTTCATTATGGCTCAGTACCATGAGATTTCAGAACAAGATTAAAAAGATTTCAAAACTTTCCGTAGAAATAGTACAGGTCATAGGTAAAGGCTCAAGAATACCAGTGGCATGAGGCTTCTCAGCTGTAGTTCTAGAAGCTAAAAGACAGTGAAGTACAGCCAACATATGCTGAGGGGAAATTATGTTTCACTTAGAATTCAATCACAAGCTTACCTAGCAAGCAAGTGTGAGAGTGGAATGAAGACATTTTCGGACACAGAAAGTCTCAGCAAATTTACTTCACATGTCCTTTTTCTCAGGAAGCTACTAGAAAATGTGCTCTACAAAAATGAGGGTGTAAACCGAGAAAGAGGAAACCATGGGCTCCAGGAAACGGGGGATCCAACACAGGAGAGAGGCACGGGGATTTCGCAAGATGGTGTTAAAAAGAAGTCCCAGGACAACAGGTGGGCAGCCGGCCTGGAAAAGCACTAGACCAGAAGGACTGGATGGGAGGCTCCTCAAGGGAAAGATAGATCGGACAGGTGAACTGCTTAGGGTCATCATGTAAGAAATACAGTTTAAATAGAAGTTTTATAGTTTCTTTGGGTGGTTCAGGAAAAGTTAGTAGTTGATACACAAAAGAAGTAAACAATAAAAAGGAAAGAAAAAAAGACAAGATGAAAGACACGATACCGCCAAGGGAGATGAGGCATCGAATAAGAGCAAAAGTATGCTCTTATGCTCCTTGGTTTTAACAGTGTTATATACATACTTTTATATATATATATATGTATATATATACACACATACATACCCGCACACACATACACATAACAGTGTTACACTGTATAATAATATAAACATAATATTCAATTAATCCCAAATTGCTATTTAGCCCACTGGAAAGATGAGGGAAGAATGCTTGTTGCGATGCGGTGATGATATAAATTTTCCTCATGTTTGTAGACATGAGGAAAGACATTATGTAATCACTGAAAGCGACAAATTTAAGAAAACAGTATACACACTGTACTTGAATACTGGGAAGCAATTATTGGAGTGAAAAGTGGTGGGGCCAGGGACCAGCAGATGGCGTAATGGTTACATCACTGGACTCCCACGTAGTCAAGTGAGGTTCAAGTTCTGGACCTGGCAGCTTAAAATGTGTGTGCCCAAAATCCCGAGAGAAGAATGGGTAAGGGATTGCAGTGTGGCCATCCCTCCAGGTGGTAATTTCTGGCTTTTTGTCTCTCTGTCTCTCCAGTGAGCATTTGCTGTATAGTAAACATCTGTCTCTTTAAACAAAAAAAGAAGTGGTGGGGCCAGCAGGTAGCATAGTGATTGATTAAGCCTCTGGACTTTCATGTGGCCAATCGCCATTTGAGTCTTGGACAGGCAGCTTGAAACTCAAACTGAGTACATGTGCGTGTTTTCCCAGAATCCCAGGAAGAGAAAAGATGAGAAGGGATTGCAACATGGCCATTCCCCTGGGGAGAGTAATTTCTCACTTTCCATTTCTCTATCTGTCCAGTGAGTGCACGTACCCTATAGCAAAAAATCTCTGTTCAAAAAAAAAAAGAAGAAAAGTAAAAAGTGGTTTCCTCTGCTTTGGTGGGAGTCAGCCTCCTTAGTGGGGTGAGTTAGTTTCTACACTAGGCACAACCACAGATTATCTCTAGAACCATCGCTTGGTGCCAAAGTCTTACCTATAAAGGAGGTTATTCACTCTGGCAAATGAGTATCTTTCATAGCAACAGCAAAAAAGAAAAATCAACCAAAAACATAAAGTTTCTTCTGAGAAGTGGGAAGAGGCAATAGGGAGATATTGGGTCCAGGATTACTGTTTTTAGTTACAGGCCTTTATAATACTGTTTTCCTTTTTAAATTATGGGCACGAATATAAATATTAACTCAATTTTTAAAAATGGAGGAATCTGAAGTAGAACATATAAAACCAAGGAGTACCTCTCTGAAAAAAGGCCAAAGCAATAAAGAGAAATTATTGGTGCTTTTGTTGGTGTCTTTCTGAATTCATTCATCTCATGTCTGATAACAAAGTAGGACACTCAGGACTCTCTGCTAGTCTTACTCCACCCAGCACTCCCTTTCATCAGCACCCACTCCCCACATTCTGTATTTACGCCTGGGTCTAGTTAACGTTCCCTTTATAGTACCTCTGGGCTTTTGCTTATAGTGCAATTATTGCTCACCTACTATGCACATGTATTCCCAACACTCCCATAAACACACTCCCATTCAAACTCACACACTCATCTCTTCAAAAGTCCCTTTGGGCCACCTCCTTCCCTTGAACACTCTTCTTGTTTATGTCTCGTCTGGCGGGGCTATAAATAATAGTGTTCTCCCTTTTCTCTAACTCCTATGGTATTGCCTTGGGTACCATTTACCACAAACTACCCTGTGGCAGAGTTGTTCTTACTGTCCTATCTTTGATAAGAGCCTGGACGGTGACAAGGGCAAGGGCCATATTGAATTGGTATTTGTTTTTCTGAGGTGCCTGGCAGAGTGCTGACATATTTCAGGTACCGCTTCAGATATTAATTAAATGAATAAATTAATCTTCCATTAAATGTGAAATCTGTTCAGTCATATGCCTCAGTTCTGAACATCTGTATCTGCATAAATAAACATTACTGGAAAGTTAGGTTTTGTTTTGTTTTGTTTTAGTTTAGTTTTTGCCATAGGGAGCATGCCCTTGCCAGACAGAGACAGTGAGTGAAAGAGAAAGTGAGAAATTGCCTCCTCCCCCCAGGCATGATGGCCACACTGCAAGCCCTTCTCCTCCATTCTTCTCTCAGGATTTTGGGCACAAAGCATACATGTGCCACATGAGTTTCATTCAAGCTACTGGAGCTATTCAAACCAAGCAGTTGCCTATGTGCCTATGTGGGATTCAGTGCCTTAACCTCCATGCCATCTGCTGGCCCCAAGGTATTTTTTGCTTTTAGTTTAAGGACATGTATGTGCTTTCTTCCTTAGAGGGGAGATGGTGCACAAATCTCAGAGGAAAACTGCTCCCTAATATTTAACATAAACTTTCTTTGTGGAGAATGTGGAACACTTGTCAGCTTTAAGGTTATAGTTGTTGGGTTCATAGGAGTTACAGGTCACTTGGCACTGAGGCTGTGGAAGGCAGGACATCACCTCGACTTCCAGGTACAGACATCACTCTTAGCTTGTTGGACAATAGAGCAGCTTAAAATGTGGTGGGAAAGGGGAAGCCCTGTCATGAGGCCAGAATACTAACGTAAGAAAGGAAGTGGTGAATGCTCAATGACACCGCAAGGTTGCCTGGATAGAGTGGCAGAAGGAGGACTTGCATCCATAGCTTTCCACACCTAATTTAGATGGCTTTCTGTTTAATCAGGCTTTATACCACAAGCTGCAGATCTCTTTATAATAAGCACTCAAGTGATCATTTAACAAATGATAACAGGATTAGTACAAAACATTCCATGTATGGGAAGTAACAAAATACCCAGCAATATTATAGTATATGCAAATGGTGGAGTACTGTGGAGTCACTGAAAGGAATAAGCTGGTGGCATGGTGGATGAGGCAGCTGGATTCTTCATGGTTGAGTTTGAGTCCAGGCTCAGAGGCCTAAGAAGTATGCCAAGTGTGTGTGTTTGTGCCCAAAATCTTGAGGGAGAGCCAGAGAAGGGATTGCGGTGTGACCATTCTGCCTGGAGGGGGTGCTTTCTCATTTTCCCTCTCTATGTCTCTCTCTGCGTGAGCACATGTACCCCCGGGAAAAATGTACAGAAATAAAAGGGAACAAGGCAGATCTGTAAGTGCGGTGAGATACAGGAAAAACTCAGTGTGGAATAGGATGATCTGTATTCCAGTATTGCCTTTCAGTAGAGGCCTTCTTTAACCCCTGCATTTAAAATTAGGCATGCCTTGCTCACTTCTCACCTGGCCTTTGCTCTTTCTTTTTTTCTCCATTACTTTTTACTTCTATCTAACATAATAGTAGAATTTGCTTGCTTATTTTTTATCTGTCTCCCCTACTAGAATGTGAACTACATGAAAGATTTTGTCTGTCTTTATTTACTGCTTCCCCCACCCCCGAATACCTCCTCAAAATGATGGAATAAGTGATTTGTATGAGAAACTTCTTTTTGGCCAGTTGGTGTGTGCACCCACTGAAG